AACGTGATCGGTGGTTGATCAAACCTGAACAACAACCTCTGAATGTGACGAATCAGATCGTACAACAGATGGATGTGAAGCCCATTCTCGAGAAGTTGGATGAAGTGATTACTGTGATGAACAGCTTCGATATCCAGGTGAACCTTGGCAATATTTACAGAGTAGTCACCCAAGTAGCAGAACGAATCAACTTCTTAGAAGATGCGGAGAAGGGTTATCCTAAGATGTTGGAATTGTTGAATGGTGTTAATGATAAATTGCAAAATGCGAACCAAGAAATCAAGTTGTTGAATGATCGATATGCTGAACTGGCAAGAAGCATTGCGACAGGAGACGACAAGTTGATCCAGAGTATTGGTGACTTGGTAAATCAACAGAAAGCGGTGATTGAAAATAGTAATCAGTATTTGCAACAAGTCGAAGCTCGTCTGCAAGGTATTGAAAACAAACCCGATCCTCCTGCAATTGCTGATATCGTAGCAATGATTCCAAGACAAAGTGAAATGCGAATCGATGAATTGTTGGAGTTCATGAAGAATCAGTACAATGATTTCTTGAAACAGTGGCTAGAGCGAAATAGCTTCATTCAGCAATTCGTATCTGCTGAGTTGGGAAAAGCATATGAAGAAATCAACAAATGGTTGGTTGAATCATTCAATCGATTCACACCTTTGCTTCAAAACGTGTCAAATGAATTGCAGACTACGAACCAGAATCTGATAGCTCTTGGCAATGCGGTTGAAAATGAGGGAAAGGCGACTAGGCAGCAATTGTCGGATGAGGGAAAGGCGACTAGGCAGCAATTATTGGATGGCACGAATGCTCTGGGTAAAGAAATAGAAACTACGAATAAACATTTGCTAGCTCTTGAAAACGGGCAGACTCAGACTGGTAACTTGCTGACAGATGTTGCTAATGGACAGACTCAACTTGGTAACATGTTGACAAATGGATTTTATAATAATCAGATGGTCCAGCAACAAATAATGGATCAGAATATGCAAATGAATGACAGGATGAATCAGGCTTATAGACGGATCATGAATCAACCACAAATTCAAGCTGTGATCTATTTGGGTGATCGTCAACCTGAAATTGTAAATACTCAAGGATTTACACCTCAAGCAATCGAACAAGTAAATCAAGTCGCAGCCCTGATCGACGAAGGTAATAACGAAGATAATGCTACTGCTGATGAGATTGAAAAAGAAATGATTCGTAATGATTTCATTGCTTTCTCAAGTCTGCTTGCTCGCAATGTAAACAATCCTAATTTCACTCAATTTGCAAATGACGTCGGATTTTCTCGTCTATTCAAAGCCTATCGTGAGCGTAATGAAGACGAGTATTTGATGAATTTCTTCATGCAGGTAGCTAATAGCAATAATTTAACTCCTCAATATTTAGCCGATGTGAAGAAGTACATCAGATTCCACATTGTTGCAACAGGAACTTACGAAGAATATCTTCAGCGAACATATAACACGATCCAGGATATGTTCGCTGTGGAAAAGAGATAATCATTAGACGTGGAATGTAGGGGTTGTCTTCGACAAAGGGGAGACATTATTCTTTTCACTTTGTACGAATGGGGAAGCTACGCTTCCCCGGGGAGAATTTCATTCTCCCCATACATAAATGGCAATTCCATTCACTGTTGATATATCTGCTTTCTATGGCGAACCCGATTTCCGAGAACAGGATAGTGGAACGATTGTGGATCGACGCAAGACATTGAATCTACACAAGGAACTCGAAGCACCAGTGCAATCAAAGCGATCACGAAAGCGAACACCAAAACGAGCTAGTAAGACGAAAACAGCTGGTGCTATTGCTTTCAATGGGGCGACCAAGGACACCGGTGGAGCCATTGCTTTCAAGGAAGGTGGTGCATGTCAGACAGACTCTAAATCCGCTGGAGCACTGGCATTCAATGAAGCACAATTGATGAACGAGCTGACCGGACTTAAGAAAGGCGGAGCACTTGGTACTCTCGCTGCCACGGTCATCCCAGCGCTCATTCAGATGGCTCCACAGATCATCTCGAGTCTCAAAAGTTTGATTAGTGGTAAGGAGGGAGGTGCACTCAAATTCGGAGGAGCTTCTGCTGTGTTCCTCAATGGAATCAACCCTAGCGACTACGACGATGTGTTGAAGACCATGAAAGCCATTGAACGACAAAGTAAAAACATCGAAGTCCGAGGTGGAGCCTTGTACGCCGGTTCAAGTCGTGTTGGCACGTTCTTCAAGAATGCCTGGAACAAGATCAAAGGTTGGTACGACAACAATGCCGACAAGTTAAAACCCATCACCGATATCCTGGTCAATGCTGGCACGAATGCCGCGAACAACGCGATCAACAAGGGTGTGAACTATGTATCCCAGAAGACAGGATCGGACACCGTGAAGCAGCTCGCGAATGTGATAGGTGACATGGCGAAGGGTACGGTTAGCGATGTGGCAAACCAGATTCAGGGCAAGGAAAGCAAAGCCGGCACTGGTTACGATATTTCTGACCTGGACAACGAGACACAAGCAATTGAAGTCCAGACGAAAAAAAAGAATCGCATCCTCACAGCCCTTCCACAGAACGAGAACAAGATGCACGAGTCAGTGATTCGAAGGAGAGTGTACTAAGCGGGAGCCTGTGGCTCCCGCGCGGAAGCAATGCTTCCGCGACACTGAGGGGCAGCGACGCTGCCCCGGGAGGAAGCATGGCGGAACGAAGTTCCGCCGGGGCGACTTTGTCGCCCCAAAGCAGAGCTTCCTCCGTACTAAGTAAACTCTACAAGCATGGATACATGAATGTGGATGCTGAACCAATGACTTTCGATGAAGTTCGAAAACTGGCCAAGCAACTCGAGATACCCGACTTCGATGTGATGGAATTGGGCAAGTACAAGTCCTTGGCAAAGAAGTACAAAGAACCAGCGAATTGCATCATCTGGATACCCTTTGAAGACGGTGGTAAGCTCGGTCACTTTGTTTCTTGCTTCCGTGAAGACGACGGAACACTGAACTACCAGGACAGCTTTGGCGAGATGAATGACTTCCCGTTGACAGGTACGAACCGTGTGTTCCGTGTGAACAAAGTGAAATACCAGTCGATCTTTGCCAACAACTGTGGCTACCTGGCACTCCTTCACTTGTACACGCACGACGCTGTTGACCCAGCTATCCAGAGGGTGTAAGGGGAAGCTTCGCTTCCCCGGGGGCACGTAGTGTCCCCTACTGTAACTATTGTACTTAAAAGAGTTCAATACATAAATACAAATAGAAATGAAATTCGAAGAGATTGACTTCTACGACTACAAGATTCGTATGTGCCTTGATAATGGTATTCGAATGTACCTTGTCTCTGATCTGTTGAGACAGTACAACGAGAAGCACGGTACAAACAAGCGATTCAAACATTACCTTGAGAATAAGCAAACCCAAGAACTGATCGAACACATGGCAAAAACAGGTGGCTGGAATTCCAGCCACCTGTCAAACGAGGGTCTAGAGGGCCAATCTACGGTAGGCTGGAATTCCGACCTACCGTCAAACGAGGGACTAGAGGGTGAAAATAGTGCCAAAAACAGTCATTCTACAGTAGGTCGGAATTCCGACCTACCGTCAAAGGGCACCCAAAACGACAAGTTTGATATTTGCGACGTGATTCAGTATGTTACAACCCCTGAATTCAATGGTACAAACAAGGGTTACATCATCTGCGAAGAGCTACTTCACGCATGCCTCATGTGGGCCGATCCTGCATTTGCCTGCGATGTGCTTAGATTCCTAACACGTCTTCGACAGGAGGACAATGACTACCTTCGAAAGGCAAACGAAGAGCTGAGACGTGCGAATGAAGAGCTGACCCATGAGAACAAGGAATTGAAGGATCGCCGTGTGCCAAATAAAGTAGGTCAACAATGGTACTTTTTCATAACGTACATTATCGTTGAAAATGATGATAATGTGCACATCTATTCACAACATGTTAAATCAGATAAATGGAAGAGTACATGTTCCAAAATGGATAGAGAGGGACGTGTATGTGTGTATAGAGTGAAAGACATACCGAATGGTTTCACGTTCAAAGACGAGATCGATAAAATCCTTTTAGACTTGTGTAAGAAGTATGGTGGGAAAAAGGTACGTAAGACTCATTATACGATTCCAATGGATGTATGGGAAAAAGAGAGATTTGACATTAGTCCAGAAATAGAGAAAGAAGCAAAGCAGACTCGTGTTGGCCTTGGTTGGCGAAGTGACTTGGATGGTTAGCCCAAAGTAAACATGGCTGTCCTTTTTTACTTTGGGGAGACCATCGGTCTCCCGGGAGGAAGCGAAGCTTCCTCCCTCTTTGGTTATGCCAAGTCGTACTTGGAACGCAATCCTTTGCCTTTCTTCTGCTTGGTAGAAGTGTCGCTTGTGTAGTGGGGAAAGGCTTTGCCTCCCCCGGGGCAACGAAGTTGCCCCTCATAGTTTGCCACGCCATCTCTCGGCTTTTGTACGAACTGGAATTCCTTGGTGTTGATGGCTTTGCTGTAGTCCTGTGGTTTGATTTCAACGGCTTCTTTGATGTCCAAGAGATTGTACGTGCGTCCCTTATTCACTTTGGTCTTCTTATTGTCGGAAGTGCGTCCAAGTTCCTCTTCGAGTTGCTGCACTTGTCGTTGCTTCTCTTCCACTTCTTTGCGTTTTCGTTCATCACTCAATGCCTTCGGTAACTTCGATCGCATCTTGTTGATTGCTTGTTGTTTGCTACTCAGCTCGTATGGGACGTACTCGACCAGCGAATCGTCATCCAGGTAGTACCATCGTGTGTGCATGCCCATCTGGATATCACGAAGTACCTCGCTCAAATTGGACGGTGGTGGTATCTTCATTTTGCGCCACAGATCCTCTCGTCCAAGGATATCGTAGTACAAGAAGATTCGAGTGGCGTTGTCCAGGATCTTGTTGCTCAAGTGAGTGAATCCTTGGAATGCAATGAAACAACTGGTCTTCCGATGTCGACTCATGCAAGCCATGGTGTCCATGAAGTTCACCACCCAGTGATCGTTCGGCTTCGTGTACAAGTCGTCGAAGATGTAGATGGACGGATACGTGGTGTCATTGTAGATCGCCACACTTGATCCATCGTCATTCAATTGTTTGTACGCGACGTCCTCACTATCGGTAAAGTCAGGACGTACTTCGTTGTCAGTGTTGATCCATTGCGTCTTGATGCCTGCTTTGTTGGCGACATGTTTGAGCACTTGTGGACACTTGTTTTCATAGCTGACCTTTCCCATGAAGAAGCAGATCTTGTCGAACGAGTGAGGTATCTCGTAGCACAACTGATTGATGAGGAACGACTTACCCGACTTGGAAGGAGCAATGATGAGTGTGAATTGATTGAGGAATGTGTCCTGACAATCGAGTTCCCAGTCGAACTTCATAATGCCCATGCTCTCCTTGTTTTGTCGAAGGTCTTGCAACTGCTCGTCAATGGTTTGCTCTGGCTGGATATAGTCGGCTAATTCTTTCAGTATTTTGGCATATTGCTTGCTCTTCTCCTCATCGGTCTCATTCTCCATCCGTTGTTTGATGGTATCCTGCATTACTTCGGCTTGATTGAGCGTATTTTCTGTTCTTCTCGTCAATCGTTTGTTGTTGTACGGACATCGATGGTTAAATCGTCTTATTCGGTTCTTGATCGAGAGTAGTGTAGTGTCTATGTTGGGAATGTACGGACTATCTTCCATTTATTAGGGAGGAACTTCGTGGGAAGCCTTCGGCTTCCCGGGGCAACTGCGTTGCCCCTATTTACTTTGGTTATCACGACATCCGCGACGCCCAAAGTGAAAAAGGAATCTATCACACATACCTCTTACAAGAAATCGCAATCGAAGACACTATTCATACTCTTGATCTTGATTTGAGTTGCCGTGAGTGATATGTACGAAAACATATCACCATTTTTGCCCTCAAATTCATTGCTCGTACCAGTTACTACGATATCGATCGTTGCGTCCTTGTATTCACGAAGATCAGTACAGGGTACATTTCGCAGATCGATCTTAATGGGCTTCTTGTCGTTATTCACGATCTTCGTGTTCGGACTCAATTTCATTTTGAACTGGATCTCACCTTCGTATTCACTGTACGATCGACTATCTCTCTTCGTCTCATCAAGAATTCTTTTGAACTCTTCCGATTGCTCCTTGGGCAGTGTGATGGAGATAGTGTTGAACAGTTTCTTCTTGTCTGTTTCGAACTTCGAGTTGTCACCCACGAAAACAATGGTAGCATCGGTGATCTTGCAAACATACTTAGCCGATTCGCCTTCTTTCTTGAATCCATTCGAAGTGAGAGACACATTGGAAGCATTGGAAGCATTGGAAAGATCGAAAACCTGAATCTTGTTGCTCATATCTATTTATATTTATGTTTTGAAATCTTTAAGTGATATTAGTTACCATACAAACCTGCGGCTCCCCTACGCTCCCACAGTGTTGGCACGGATCATGATGAGGTGCATCTGGATCGTCGCTGCAACATCCTCTTCCAACTCGATTTCGAACTGGATCTGATTCGATGCTCGCATCGGGAACCACTCGGCTAACGGGAAGGCGAAGATGCGGAACTGATTCAACCACGTCTTGTATGTCAACAGCGTGTCGTACTCGTCGGAACGACTATTGCAAAGATAGTCCATCCATTCGAAGAACGTGTGATCAATGCCGTCGGGTGTGTTCGTGTTGTCCACATTGATGATACGCTTCTGTTCACCAGCGATGTTCAAGGAGATACGTTTGAATCGCACATCAAGGAGTTCCGAGAAATCACCATCGTCGTCCGTGAACATCATGAACATCATCTTGACGGGGAAGTTAACCAACACACGATCATCGATGAATCCCTGTCCACTTGGAATACGGAACGTCTTGGTCATGATCTGGTTCTTCACCAACTGAGTGTCTTCAGGATCGAAGGTCGAATCATCACTCGTCTTGTAACTATGATACCAAAGCGTGCATGTATCGAAGTACACACCGGTGAAAGCCGTGGCTGATGGAACAGCGTCCGGACTTGTAGCGGTATTGATTTTGCCAGCATCGATGTAGAAGTATGCATCGTCGTTCGTGGGATAGATCTGAGCATCCATCTGCGTGAGATTGATGAATCGTTCCTGAGAACAACCTTCGAAGATGTCTGCAAAGTTCACATTGATCGTCGTGTACGCCGTGGTCGATCCAGGTGGCTGTACGAACTTGAGCATGTTGTAGAATAACTTCCCGCCATAAGGTCGACCCAGGATGGCCGCAGTTCGTGCGGTTTTATCGGTTGTATCGTAGTCACGGTCATCGTAGTAGATGTAGGACAGTTCCTTCAATCCTTCATTCACCACATTGTTGTGCTTGTTGTCCGTGAGCGCATTCAAGAGTGACCGGATCTGGCCGATGTTTTCATTGTCTGCACATCAGACGGCAAGGACGCCAAGTTCTCACCATTCCAATAGGTGTACGTGACCTTCGTGTTGTTCACGATGCCCGACATGTTCTTCTTCACCGGAACATAGAATACCTTGGGTGAACCTGTTGCGTTATTTGCCAATCCGGTGATCTTGAGCTTGAACGTCATTCGAGACTTGTACAGATTGAAGTACACGTCATCACCGGATGGTGCGATCGTCCAATTGATCACATCGGTCGACTTGATGTTATTGGACTGATTGCTGAACACAATCTGCGATTCGTAGTTATGCACAGGAGGAATTGTAGTAGCCATTTACTATATAGCAGAGAAAATTATTTTCTCCACAAAGTAATCAAGGGGAGCCGCAGGCTCCCCCGGGAGGAAACGAAGTTTCCTCCCTAGTATAAATATCAAGCACAGCAGAGAAACTTGTATATCTCCAGAACGGAGTATTCAAACGCAAGGAGATGACGAATGGTCTCCAGTACTACTCGGACGGCTCATTCGACACATTCAGTCTTCCTGCGTCCAATGGAAACTACGTACTCACCAAGGGAGACAATGGTCTCCTCACATGGACGGACGCGGGCACTGTAGTACCTGAGCAGCCTGAAGAGTTCACCACGCTCGACAACTCGTACTTCAAAGACAGCAACAGCCAGGCAATTACCATTGCCACTCAAGGTACGATTCCATACTTTACCAGCAATAGCACCTTCGGTGAGCTCGATCTGCCTAGTAGCGGCAAGTACGTGCTGAACATGGACGAAGATGGCAATCCTTCGTTCTTGTTATTCAGTGCGACTACGATCAACACGGCTATCGGTCTCGGTACCACATCGAACAAGTACGCGATTGCCAACTGGAACTCGACAACGAGCACTCGTAAAGATCTGTTCCTGCCAGATCAGTCCGGGACGTACATCCTGAAAGGAGTAGAGGCTGGGGCTTTCGGAATTCAGTACACATTCGAGACAATGAACGCCTCAACTCTATTCCACGATTGCCTCGGCGTGCAGTCGACGAACCTGTGTCTCATTGCTTACAAGGGCAATAGTGCATTCGGTGTGAACGTGCCTGCGATGAATAACTCTTCTGGCTACTTCGTCTTCAAGAACGAGACAAATACTGAAGTACCCACAACGAGCATCCTTGACTCCAATGTAATCTATAAAGATATTCTTGGATGTACGAATGAAGAACAATGTATCGTGATCAATTATGGAACGGGTGTGAGCAAATTGACCATCCCGTCCAACTCAGGATCGTACTTGCTGAACGTGACTAGCAGTGGAATATCCTTCGAGCCACAGCCTACCAAGTTCTCCAAGACGTTCACGTACTCTTGGTCTGGTAGTGGTCACACCGTCGTATCCGAGATACTCGGATCAGACAATTCGAACTTGACGGAAGATCTCACGTTATCTTCGAACAGCAAGTATCTGGTCACGATCGATTTGAGTCTCAAGTGTGGTAACTACGAACAGGCACTCGTAGGCTTTACAGACACGCCGACCTTGGTAATCACTACGTCTCAAGCAACGTTGCTGAAGACAACACTTGACAACCCAACCCCAACAATGAACGTCTCTGGCACATCTATATTTTCACCGTTAAAAGATGGTGGATTACAACTCGTTGTGACACGCGGTGGTGATACAACTATCTCGCACTTATACTCGAACTTCCAAGTCACGATTGTAGAACTTTAAGGGACAAAGTGAAATAAGGGCGACTTGGAAACCATAGCTTCCAGTCTTTTACTTTGGCGGTAATCGTTTACCCGATACACATTCGAGTTGATCAAATGCAACACCATCGATATCAATGATAATTATATCACCACCTAATGTCATCACACGATGACCTTCGATATCATAGATATTCTCATTGAAAGCACGGAGTTCAGCAAGTCCTCCTACTTCACCCCACTTCACTATGTATTTATCATCATTACATGATTTCACAAGAAGATGTTGAAGATCGGGTGAATTTATCATCATATAAGGAGGATTATACTCATTATGATAATTTGTACCTTTGGGATCATCAACAAATGAATTAATCATATCATGCACATATTTACGTGTGATATCAAGACGTTCATCATTCATCCAACAGTTCATTTGTATTTCTATTTATGTTTACATTATTTAAATCTATTTAGGCATCCCTCATTTCACTTTAATCTCTGTCGGACTGATCGATATATCACTTCCACTGTCGTCATCGGATCCATTCTTCTCATTGTACACGCATAGGCAGTGACATCTGTCCTTGCATTTCGAGTCAACCACCAGTTTGTGGTTCTTTCTTCCACTCATCCATTTCCATGCACTTTTCAGCCATTGAATAAAGCGGTTCATTTATGAATGAAATCAAGGAACTAAGGAAACCAGCCAAGCGAAAAGGTGCAACTCGAGTGATCATCAGTGGCTTCAAGAGAAACATATACTTCATCGATCTCATCGATTTCTCTTCCAAACAAGACAAATGGATTCAGGAAGTGTTGGGCAGACAGAAGAGTACAGGATTCCACAAGAATCGTGGATACAAGTATGTCCTTGTATGTATTGATGGATATTCGAAGTACTTGATGGCTCGGCGACTGAAGAGCAAGAGTGCCACAGAAGTCACGCATGCGATGAAGGATATCATTCAAACATACGGACCACCAAAGCATATTTGCTCTGATCGAGGTACCGAGTTCACCAATGCCATCTTTCGTACCAACATCTTGGACAAGTACGACATCACCATGTATCACATGGATTCAGCGAATAAGGCAGTACTAGCCGAACGAGCAATTCGAGATATCAAGGAAGACATCATGGTTCCATTCAATCAATCGAAAGGTGTGTGGTTCGACTTGATCGATGGTGCCGTTCGTAGACACAATGCAAGGAAGAACAGAGACACCGGATATGCACCCACTGACATTTGGAACAACAACATCTTGTACACGGAGAAGACAGAACCATCCAACATGACAGCGAAGGACACAACACCTCAATTCGATGTGGGTGATTATGTTCGAGTGACACGAAGACCTCGCGTTCTGGAAAAGCGATCATTGACCAGCAAATGGTCTCAGGACTTGTATGAAGTTGTTGACATTGACGATCGATTCATGCCATTGATGTACGAAGTGAAGAATATGGAAAGCGGTAGCAAGCAG